AGCAACTTGCTTCAGAATTTTTTTCATGGTTACTATTGCTAACTATTTCTCTCCATCCAACCCTCCCATTTATTCTACTCTCTCCCTCCTTTCCCTCTGTCCTTCCTCTGACTACCCTCTCCCCCAATCTGCCTTCCCCTCTATCACACTCCCACTCATTCTCTTGCCCTCTTCTACTCCTTCTTCTGTAGGTAAGATAGACTTCTATACCATTTGAGTGTGTATGCTATTCCCTCTTTGAGCCAATTTTGATGAGATCGAGGTTCACCCACTCCCTCTTATTTCCCCCCTCTTCCCCTCAACTGTAAAAACTTTTTCTTACCTCTTTTATGTGAGATAATTTACCCCATTCTATCTCCAGCTTTCGCTTTTCCGCAGTCCATTTGTCTCTCACCTCTTAATTTTATTTTGTAGATATCCTCCTTTCATATTCAACTCACACCTGTGCCGTCTGTCTATATGTACTCCCTCTAATTGTCCTCATGATTGGAAAGTTCTTATGAGTTAGAAGTATCATCTTCCCATGTAGGATTGTAAACTGTTTAACCTTATTAAGTCCCTTATGATTTCCCTTTCCTGTTTATCTTTTTATGCTTCTCTTGAGTCTTGTCAAATTTTCTATTCAGCTCTGGTCTTTTCATCAAGCATGCTTGAGAGTCTTCTATTTCATTGAATATCCATTTCCCCTCCAGAAGGATTATACTCAATTTTTCTGGTTAAATGATTCTTTATTGTAATCCTGCTCTCTAGACCTCCAGACATTTCTAAATTACCTTTTTTGGATCTATTTTCCAGGTCAGTTTTTTTTCCCCAATGAGATATTTCAGTCTTCTATTTCTTTTCATTCTTTTGGTTTTGTTTTATAATTTCTTGATTTCTCATAATGTCATTAACTTCTATTTGCTCAATTTTAATTTTTAAGAAATTGTTTCCTTCTGTGACCTTTTGTACCTCATTTTCCATTTGGTCAATAGTACTTTTTAAGGAATTTTTCTCTTTAGTAAGTTTTTGTATATCTTTTTTTTTCCATTTGTCCAATTCTGCTTTTTAAAAGCAATCTTCTCTTCATTGCCTTTTTGTACCTCTTTTACCATTTGGCCTACTCTTTTTTTTAAGTTGTTGTTTCTTTAATATTTTTTTCCTTCCTTTACCAAGCTGCTAACTCATTTTTTTTCATGATTTTCTTTCATCACTCTTATTTATTTTCACAGTTTTCCCTCTGCATATCTTACTTGCTTTTTCAAAATCCTTTTTGAGCTCTTCCATGACCTGAGACCAATTCATATTTTTCTTGGTGGCTTTACATGTAGGAGCTTTGTCTTTGGTATCTTCTGAGTGTGTGTTTTGATCTTCCTTTTCACCATAGTGTCATTCTATCATCAGAATTATCTTATTCTGTCATTTACTCATTTTGCCAGCCTATATTTTGACTTTTAAATCCTTGTTAAAGGAGGGCTCTGCTTCCATGGTAAAGGACGCACTGTCCCAAACTTCAGTAGTTTTGTGCAGCTGTTTTCAGAGATATTTCTAGGGACCTGTAATTTTCAGTTTTTCCAAGGTTGTATGATCTAAGCTGAGGTCTGTTTACTGCTCTCCTGGCCTGTGATCTGGTCTGTGAGTGACCATAAGCATTCTTTTCTGCCCTGTAACTGTGACAAAGGTCCCTGCTCCACTGTGGCCACAAGCTCTGGTGTGCTCCAGGAATTTTTTATGGCATTATTTAGTAGTGTTCAGAGTGGTTTTGGGGAGAGCTCAGGCATGTCACTGCCTTTTTTCTGCCATCTTGGCTGAGTTTTTACTTAAAGCACCGTCTACCTCTAAATCTGATACTATGATCTAGTACAGCCCTCTTGTTTTGACATTGAAAAAAATAAAGTCCAGAGAAGGCAAATAATTTGTCAAAGGTAACAAAATGGCGTAAACCAAAATGGCCATAAACCCTTATTTTGACTCAAAATCTCACAGTCGACTATACTACAATGGGGAGCTGAAATTTTGTATAGTCTAAGTTTCAGATTTTAGTTATGAAGAAACTGCAGTCTAATGGGGTGACATGACTGACACAAAGTAGCTAAAAATCGTGATGTTAATTAATGGCTTAATATTTTACCATGAAACAAGAAACAGAAAACTTTCCATTATTTATGTGGCACATACAGGAGAAGGATCTGTGTCTTCTTCAAAAAAAAATCTTCATGTGGAAAGTAAGTGACTTGCCTAGCTAGTAAGTGTTTGAGGCAGGATTTGAAAGCAGGTTGTCTGACTCCAAGCCCAGAAGTCTATTTATTATGTCGGGTTGCCTTGTAGTGTAAGCAAGCACAGAAATATAAGAAAATGCAACACTCTCTAAATTAGTATACTTATGCAATGCCACAGCAATCAAACTGTTGAAGTATTACTTTATAGAACTAGAAATAATAATACAGCTTTTATGGAGGAGAAAAAAAAAGATTAAGATTCTAAAGAGAAATAATAAAAATAAATGGGAAGAAAGGTTTAATAGTGCCTGTTCTCAAAATACACTACAAAGTGGTTATTATTAAAACAATTTGATATTACTAAAGAATAGAGAGATCAGTCAGTACAACAGTTTATGTGCATAGCATACAGAGACAAATGTATCAAATATCTAGTATTTGATAAACCCGGAGACCCCAAGTATTGGGGTAAAGACTCATAATTTGGCAGAAACTACTGGGAAAATCAGATAGCAGTATGAAAAAAAATAGATTTAGACCAATACCTCACATCTTATACAAAAAAAAAAGCTCCAAATGGACACATGATGTACATAGAAAAAGTCTCATCATGAACAAATTAAAAAACTGGAAAAAATATTGATTAGAACTTTGGGTTACAAAAAAGTTCATGACCATACAAGGACTAGAGATGATTATAAAGAATAAAATGTATAATTTAATTACCTAAATATATTGGACCTGATGTTTACCTGCTCTGGTAATGAACCTGTATACATTAAAAAGCCTGTCTGTATTTAAAGAAGTTGTCTCTTGTATGACTGACTTGCATGAATTTTGTTACCAGGTTCAAAACTTTTCATCTACCTCTAGGTGAAGGACCTATGTTGCAGTAATGCATTATAGCTACCAGGGAAACAGTTAATTAGAAGAAAATTTTGTTCCTTTTTAAAGTTATGAAAGAAGATATCTATCATATAGGAAGATCTTGGAAAATGATGTTATTTAATATTGATATATGTATATTTATGCATCCATATACTATGAACATGTGTATTAATATACAAACCTATAGATTACATATGTATACATGTATCTCATTTGCATATGTATATTTATGTGTATACATGTATATACATCTTAGCTAAAGAAAGAAAAATGTCTGGACATCAAAAGCTAGAAAAAAAAATTTAAAGACTTGAGAAATTCATGATAATTAATTTTTAAAAATGAGTGGGGGAGATTAGAATGAAGAAATTGAACATTCCTGGGTAATGCTGACAAATTATCAAGAGCCCTCATTGAATTAATAAATATTTAATAACTAGCATTTATATAAAATTTAAAAGTTTATAAAGTGCTTTATAAATATTATCTCATTTTATCCTCACAACAACCTGGGGAAATAGGTACTATTATTTTTACCATTTCATAGATGAAGAAACTGAGGCAATTGAGGGTTTATTGACATGTCCAAGGTCACATAGCTAACAAGTGTCTGAGGCTGAAGTTGAACTGTTCTCTTTTTAACTCACAACCCAGTACTTTATCTACACTCTACCTAACTCACATGTTAATGTTTAGCATTGTGCTAGATACTATGGTTGCTTGGGTTGCAGGGAAAGAATTCAAAAGAAGCATAGAACTATAGCCTAACTCATAAGGACCCTACAATCTAGCTAAGGATGTGGTACTACTCCAGTACTTCAGTGGGCCTATGGTCACATTGATGTGAGTACTCCAATGTAACTATATTATTGATAACAGTTCATCCTTCTTTTCTCATCCTTTCTGTCTGTCACTGATGACCTCCTGTAAATACTTAACACTAGTTCCACCAAAAGATTAGAGGACTTGTTCTATATCTGAAAAATGAAAAAGTCCCTCGACTATCCATTGGTTCTCTCTTAATCTCACTCCATGACAGACTAACCTCCTTTTCTAGATGTATGTTTCTTTAATGACATCCTTTTTTCCTACTTCTTTGGCACAGTGTATCATTGGTAATGTGATGCAGGATACAAATGCCCACCACATGCCTTTGGGGTATCTCAAAAATTAATTATGTGAGGGTGTATAGTATCATTGGATGAATATTTTAAGAGAAGACTAATATATCTTAAATATATAGTGGATGAGTCTGTTGATAATGAGATGTCGATTAAGTGGTATACAGAGTGAATTCAAAGAGTCAGAAAAGGGAAAAATCAAAGTAGGCTAGAATGGTTAAGAAAGACTTCATGTAGGTTGTTCTAGGCTCTGAAAGATGAGCAGGATTAGTATAGATTAGGAGACAGGAGAACTTCATAGCTCAAGAGTGTATGTAATGATTAGGAATGTTATGTGTTTCATAAAGGTTAGTTGTTTGCTAGCCACATTACCAACTGACCTGCTTCTTAGATTGGTAGCTGGTAGAACTAGTGTTTTAGTTTTTCTTTAGCTATTCAAATGACCCTATTGCTATAGATTCTTGTGTGTGAAATAAATGTAAGGACTTTGATTTTCTTTTATTTTTTCCTCCTTTCTTGCAAATTATTGTTTTATATAGTTTTAACGGGTTCGGAAAGGATAAGAAAAAAGGTTTTGTAAAATAGGCTCCTAAAAAGCCAGCAATTATAGTTATTTTTAAGTGGGCTAATCAGTATCTTTTTCAATGTGTAATCAAGTAGCAGTCTATAATTATTTGAGCCACTTGGCTCGCACATACAATTGGATAAAGCAAAGTGTACTCTTTTTTTTTTAATTACGTTTCCTGCTCCTTTGCAGTTTATAACTGAGGGTTGAATTTGTTTTTCCTCAAAGCTCAGTTTTGGAGGGATTCCAGTCCCAGGCAAACCAGGAACATTCCTGAAGAAAAACTTTCATGGATGTATTGAAAACCTTTATTATAATGGAGTTAATGTAATTGATTTGGCCAAAAGACGCAAGCATCAGATCTATACTGTGGTAAGTCAAAAAGCATCTCTTTGCACTTGCTTCTTTCTTGCTACTTTTTGGTGAGCTTGCCTGATTTTCCCTACTAGACACAGTCTGCCAACTAAGATGATACTACTCTCAGTCAATAGTGGTTCACAAGTATAATTGGGTCATTGGAAGAATGTGGAGACTTTTAACATCAATAGAGCTATCAAGGGAAACAAACACATTAGCAGGAATTCAAAGATTTCCATTTCCCTTGTGGAATTGAGTCAGCTGTAGTTAGAAATGCAGTCAGAAATTTTTAACCTGAATCATTTTTTGCTATTGCCAGCAACGCAGTTGATGGAATCACAAATATTTTTATAACTATGGACGTGCAGTTTTTGACCCCTGAACTTAATTTTCAATGAAATCGAGTTTACCTAAAAAGGTCAAACTTAGTATCTAGTGCTTTTAAGAAAACATATGACTGTTGTTATCTCAAGATAAGTATGAGAAATAACAGATATTTTCTTTCTGAAAGAATAGTCAACTTTTTGAATGAGGAAAGTTCTCCTCTAGGGGAAGATATTACTATTCTAAGGCATATCGAAGGACTACATGGTCATGTTATTTTGTCTATTTTTTCCGTATCTGAAAAGATGTTAAAAGCAATCTTACTAAGAACATGGTTTAACTTTTGTCCTATGGCTATAGTTTGAAATATATTACAAGTCTGAGGTGTTAGGGCAGTGAATAATTATTTTCTTATGTCTCTATTGTTGAAAACTATGTATATTCAACTTTTGTTGGCGAGTCAGTGATAATTTCATTGCATGTATTGAGAAGGATTTTTGTTGTGGTTGGTTGGTTAACTGAATAAAAAATGCCACAGTGAGCTGACAGTGGCATCAAGGGACAACTTGCATTGTATCATAACTTCAAAGTCAGAATGTTGGGGATGTATACTCCAATACCCATATCTCTCTTAAGCCCTATTATCTCCATGGCTACCCTCTTCAGTTTGACTCCAACTTACCTGTCAGATCTTATCTCCCACTTTGCCACTGTGCACAGCTGCCATGTCAGCAGTATTAGTGTGCTCACAGAGGATCAAACACACTTCTAGCTCATGCCATTCCTACTGTCTAGAGTATTCTTTCCATTCTAATGATCTAACCATACTAATCTGAACAAAGCCAATCTGTTATGAAATATTCCAGACCACTCCAGCTCATGGTAATCCCTCACTCCTCTGAGTTCATAGTAACTACTCTCTATACAGGAGTGGGGAACCTGTGGCCTTTAGGCTATATATGGTCTTCTAGATCCTCAAGTGCAGATTGAATCCAAACTTCACAGAACAAATCCCTTTAATAAAAGGATTTGTTCTGTAAAACTTGGACTCAGTCAAAAGGCCACACACAAGGAACTAGAAGGTCACAGGTTCCCCACCCAGGTACCATTCCAATGCACTTAATCTTACTCTGATTTATGGTTTTATTTTGTAATGTAATCTCGTACTTCTATTTCGCTCATTTTCTTTTAATTTGTATTTATTTATTCCCTATCTCCTCAAATATATTGTAATCAGGAAAAGAAAGGTGGCTATGTACACATATTATATTACATTGTTATATATATAGCTATATATACTATATGATTATATATACTATACTATATATACTACAGTATATTTATATATTATATATACACTATAGTGTATTAATCGCATTATCTATCTATCTACCTATCACCAATGGTATCTAGAACTATACTGTGCACCTAATAGTATTTCTGTTTGTTCATCCTAGAATAAACTCTGACAAACTGAAAAGAGATGTTGAAAAGAATTCTGGTATATTTTAATTTGGTGAACCATTTCCTGCTCCCCTTATCAAGAATTATTAGCATTTTGTAGACATCAACTTTATTCTAATCTCTTTTATTCCCATACCAATTTAAAAATAAAATTATGGGTGCTATCATAGTTACATTCTCTTTCTCATGCCTAAAGTGTTCTGGCTTTTTAGTTTACTTGACCTATTGAGTGTGACATGCCCTTCAAACTTCAATATAGCCAGTGTCTTCTTCAGGCATTATTGCATCTACAGTGCCTAAAAGAGATGTCATCTTTCTTATTTCTGTACTCATGAAGATCACTCATGAAGGTGACTCTGTAAAGGTCATGTTTTTACTCCGTTGTGCCCTGTACATTGTGATTCCTCAATTAATGATGTTATCTTATTGACTAACTAATTTAAACCTTTAGAGTGACTGAAAATGTAAGTGTTTTGTGCTACTGTAAAGAAAGAGGCTTTATCAATGCTTTTGGGAGACAAAAAAGAAAGAAAAATAAGGGAAGGGAAAATCATGATAAAAGTTTATAGTAGGTCATGATTCATATATATGCATTTATAAATGTGTGCACATATATGTGTGTATATTGTGTGTATGTATGTATTTATGTTTATATGTATGTATAGCTATCTGACTGCTTTTTCCTTTTAGTCATTTGAATATAGAAATTAGACCCTAGTGAATTTCCATATGCATTTAAAATACTGCTTCTTTGTCTGCAGAGGAAAAGGGTTAATTTTTCATTTTTATGAATGGATTCTGCATAACACTCTCATATATATTACTCTATTATTCTCAATTCTTTCTTTCATATCAAATCAGTTGCCTAGTATTGTCAATTCCATTTCATAATAAATTTCAGATCCCTTAAATTATTACCACTCACATAATTGTCACACTTGTTAAGAACTTTATCACTTTTTCCCTGGAATGTTATTTTTTTTCCCTAGCCTCCAGTTTTTTCCCTTTCTAGTCCATACTCTACACAGCTGTCAAATTGATTCTTAAAGTACAGGTTACAAAATAATACCCTCTGTTCAAGAAGTTCCCATGTCTTTCTATTTTATAGGATAAAAAAGAAATTTATCTCTTTTATTTTTCAGGACTTTCTCAATCTGGCCCCAGCCTTCTTTTCCAGGATTATGGTACATTATTCTCTTTCATGAAAGTTATGCTCAAGTCAGACTGTCCAGGCTGTACATCATGTTCAATCTCCTTTCTCTGTGCCTTTGTACAAAATCTCCCCCATGCCCAGAACCTATACCCACTTCACCTTTGCCCACTGGAATCCTTAAAATTCTATAAAGCTTAGCTCATTTGTCACCTCCTGCAGGAAGACTACCTTGATATCCTCATTTTCCAGTGTCCTTCCCTCCTTAAATTACTTTGTCAGTCAATAAGCATTTACTAAGAAAGTACTTTGCTAAGCAGTGGGGTTACAAAACAAACAAACAAAAAATCCCCTGCAAAAGTGTGATATAGGCCCTCAAAACCTAACATTCTAGTTGGAGAGAAAACATCTAAGCACTATGTATCTATGTATCTGTCTGTCTATGCATCTTTCTATCTATCCATCCATCTCTCTGTCTTATCCATGTGAGTGTGTATGAACACACACACACACACACACACACAGAGGCTATACAGTAAAGAATCACTAGTATTGAGAGGCAGAGGGAGAATTGGGAAGAGACCCATGGAACAAAGTGGGATTTGAGCTGAGTCTTGACCAAGCCAGGGAAACCAGGAGATGGAGGTAAGGAAGGAGATCATTTCAGACATGAGAGAAAGACAGTGAAAAGGCACATGGTTGGGAGATGGAGTATTACATACAAGAAACATCAAATTTGCCAGGATTCATTTTCTACCTAGTTTTCAAAGTACATATTTTCATTCCTCTCCACAGACCCCAATCAAATATAATTTTTTTAAAAATAATGACTGATATTTTAAAATTGTATCCAAGTGTCTGGAATATAATTTACAAATGCTTGTGCAATGAATAATACCATTTTTATTTCACTTCTATTACTTTTTCCAGCCACTTAATTGTTACATATCACTCTATTGTAACTATCAGTGGTATATTGAGTAAGTTTTATGGTGATATAAATAAGGGGTTCTTAACCTAGGGTCCAAAGGGCCTCCAAGGAGTCCATGGACCAGCTTCAAGTGGTCCATGAACTTTGAGAGAAAAAAAATGTGTATGCACACACATACACACACATGCACATACACACACACACACACACATATACACACACACATACATACATATATATATTTCACTAACCTTTGGTTGCCGCTATAATTCTATATATAATTCTCTTTATATAACATACATATACATGTATGTATGTATATGAGAAACATTATTTTGAGAATATGGCCATAGGCTTCACCAGACTTACAAGAAGGTCCATGACACAGAAAGGGTTATGAGAAGTGTTTTATGGTTATCAATAATTGTTTCGTTGTTGTTCAGACATTTCCTTGTGTCGAACTCTTCAAGACTCCATTTAGGGTTTTCTTAGAAAAGATACTGGAGTGGTTTGCCATTTTCTTCTCTAGATCATTTTAAAGATGAGGAAACTGCAGCAAACAGGGTTAAATGATTTGCTCAAGGTCACACAGTTAGTAAGTGTAGGCTGATAGATTTGAACTCAGGTCTTTCTGATTCCAGGCCCAGTAATCTATGTGCTGAGCCATCTAACTTCCCATTTATAATAATAGGCTGCTAAAATTATTAATGATGGTGGTGTGTGTCTATGAGTTTTGTATTAAATACAACAATTATTTAGGTTGTCAGTGAAAATACTTACCACCACCACTTATAAAAAGTCTTAGACAGGGTTAACACTGGACGGTCAGGCATGTCACTGGAGACACTCAGTAAGATCACAAATACATTAAAATATGTCAGAATTATTACTCATATTATTAATCAAATACCTATTAGGCCCAGAATATAGGGGAATATGCAAATATCTTAGCAAAATATAAATGTATCATCAATATTGGTATTTTATATAATAATTTTAATAATAGCCAGCTATTAAAGACTATTCCATAATTTACAACTCTTTCTAAGTTTATAGTTTTATTTGTTTTTCACAACTTTATGAGGTTGCAGGGTAGATGTTATCTACATTTCACAGATAAGTAGAATGTGACTCAAGCAGGTGGGG